GCTACAGGCCCCAGTCCCCCGAACTGACTCCTGGCATGAGCCCTATAGGTCAGACATGCTGTGTTCTCCTCCTAACAGGCTCCAGGGCCATGGCCTGCATAGCCTGCATCTTTTCATAGCATGCTGCATTCTAGTGTTTTATGATACTGAGAGTCACGCTCTTCTCAGTGTCCCAGTGTACTCTATTGCTTTCACACAGCAATCAACAGACATGTATGCATAGTTTCACTCTGCAGGATCTGTTTGTACCATACTGAGAGGCACAAAAGCATGTACAATATAGCTTGTGACCTCAGGAGTTTACATTCTAGTTTAAAAAAAAATCTGAGGGCCAGATGGACCAGTTCCTAAAGAACGACCAATTAGCAAGATGATAATATGTCAAAATAATTGTTATGATGAATTTTGAGGAATATGTAATTAAAGAAGTGTCTATAATACCTATTTAGCAGAGTAAAATATATAAGTACACGTCTGATTATTTTGTCCTTGTTCACCATGTGACAATGGGTGTCCATTCTTTAACCTATATTTTTTACTTCATTTATAGCTAAAATCCCTTTTAACAAATACAACTGTAGCAGCAAGTTCTATGTAATAAAAATATTTTTTCTTCTTCTGGCCCAAAGTGCATGCTAACAGTCCTTAGCTGATGGAGATCTGAGACTTTTTTTGAAAAAAAAAAAAAAAAAAGCCCACTAGGAGAAAGATATTCACAAATCCTTGTTCATTTGGAAATAAATCTACTTAATGAAAAGGTCATCCTTTTCGGCAGAGTGTTGATATAAAGTGCATGTTGGCATATCTGTACAATAATGCCCCTTAATAAGTAGTTCTTAATAGCGATTAATAAAGAAGATAGCTCTTATAAAAGCTGAATTTTTAATGTTGCATTGACTTCACTTGAGGCCTTTAAATATCTCCTAGTGAAAGTGGTTTTTTCCATCTGATCAGCTCTGAGTAGAGGACTACGGAAGTCTCTCTCTTCAGGTCCCACCGTGCAGGCAAAGGGGGCGAAATACATCACACTGCTAGTGTCCTCGTGTCCATCCATTGCCTTTGCTGACAGAAGGAAGCATTCATAGCCCCATTGTCCAAACGCTACTTCTCACTTATTCTTGACAAAGGTTATAGGAAGTACATTAGAACATAGAAGGCCTAGGTAAAATTCGGAGAGTTTGCAATATATGAAAGAAAAATAATCGCAGGCCTACGCTATGTCTGTCGTATAGCAGACTCACTCAAGCCAGCCAGCATGTCTGGGTTTACACGAGCACTTTCTTGCCTTAGGAGACTACCATATAAGTGTTTGGGCTTAAGACGCCCTCCTGCCAGGCTTCAAATTAGGTGAGACTGGTAAAGTCAATAAAAGGTAATGGATTGTGTCCATACATGACTCCATTCCATCATTTGAATGCCTTTATCAATAACTGCTCGGGGCGAGATTCAGCCGTAACCCTCTGTAGAGTGTGCCCCAGGCAGTGGAGAACTGATTTTATTTCCTAAGGTCTTTGAGGCTTACTAGACTAAAATCCTCCTCTTTCACTATGGAACACACCCAGAGAAGTTTTTCTTAGCTGATTCATATTTTCTTTCTCTCAGCTCATGATAATTATTCCAAACTTCTTCCACTGTTTTTGCACAAACTCACCCACAGGTAAGAAGGCTGCTGTATTCACAAACGCAGTGAACAGGACTATAAACACTACACTTGCCTTGCTCTCACCAGTGGCCAGTATTTCCTTCTGTCTACTCAAATTCTTTTGCTTCTCTGTGAACTTAAATTGAAGGTCTCTGTTCAACTCCACGTTGGAGCAAAATAGGAGGTGGGATGTTTTTAATAGTATCTACCAAAACTACTTAGCTCAATGAGAAGAAAGATTTGTACCAGTAGTGTTCAGACAAGATATCAGGTCTGCATCTTGTACTATGAATAACTACTATGAAGACAACAATATGCAATGTATTAATTATCATAACTATCCTACTAACCTGTTTTGAAACTGTCTCATTGCTATTTCTTTCTCAATAAAATTGATTTTTTAAAAAAAAGTATTTACCAAAACTAATTTGTGGGGTTTTTTAAAATTCCCATGTTTAAAACTGCTACCAATTTGTAGAAATTCAGAACTTACAGTTACCTTGGAATGCTAAATGTCAGAAATTATATTTGCATAGCATCATTTATTGACTTAGTCTTCTGAATTACACGTGGGGAAATGACTTGCTCCTCTTTGTTGATCAGGACATGCTGCTTTTCCTAGCATCTCGCTGCCCCCTGCTGCACATCCTGCTCTGCAGGAATTCTCTGTTTGCATTCTGACTTTCTGGGCCAGCCCACGCTTGGCTGGGTTCTGGCAAAGCGATTAGATGCTAAGCTCTAACTCTAACTCTACCAGTCCTCCATGGGACCTGTCCTCTACATAGGTCCCATTTATGGAGCAGGAGAGTGGGCAAGTGGGCACTCTGTTGTGGGGGAGAGAGTACAGGCAGGAGAGTGGGCCCCAAATGGATGTTAAACCCCTTCAAATGGAGAACTCCAAGCAAATTTGGACCTGCTTTAGCTTAGGAGAACTGTGTCCAGATAAACTCAAAGATCCTACAAGTTTTAGGGTAGCACCATGAATTGGAAGAATAATGTAGCATTAAGATCCATTATGGAGAAAAGAAACAAAACCACTAGACTGAGGTAGGGAGGGGGGAGGTGGAGGGAGAAGGGGAAAAAAGAGAGGACTTTGGGGAATTTCTGTAGCATCTGATCCTTTGTAAAAACTAACATTTAAAAACTAATTTTTAAGATATGATGTTTTAAGATTTTAATACACAATCTATTTTTAAATCTCTACAGACTTTAATATTTAATATGAATCTTCATCTGTCAGTGATATAGCATAGATAGTACTGTGGTAGTCAGTCGTACACAATTTGAGGATTACGAAGGGGCATTCTTTCTTTCAAAACTACCCTGAAATTTTCACAAAGTTATAAGCCTTGTGTGTAGTCTCTGTGAGGTCTGCTCAAATGACATTGGACTATTTGTTCAACTTCGTCTGGCCTCCGATTGTCCATTTACAAAGTATGGGTGCACATACGTTATGGGGCTACTGAGGAGTACAATAGGTAACATTCACCAGGCACCCGGAAGAATCACATTGCTTGCTCCTCCTTCCCTGCCTCCTCTTTCCTATCTGAAATGTTCGACACTTGCCTTGGAACTAGATGTGAAGTTCTGGGTGGGTGGCAGATCACAGTGCCCTCTTTCCAAAGTGTCTCCAAAGGATTAGAGAGGAAGCCTTTCCTTGTCACCATTCACTTTCAAAACCACACAGAGAAACTGACAGTGGGCTAAATGGGTACAGGTGATCGCTAAAGTTTTAAAACCTGTATGTCAGGAACTATAAGGGATTTCCTGCCCTGGAATCATGTGTACTTTACTATGACAATGAAAGAGATTTTGCTCCATTAATGATGTCTAGAGATGCAAATGAGAGGTAAGAGAGGCATCCCATGCAGGAAGGTAATTCCATGATTATGAAATTTTCTCTAAATAATATATTAGACTGCATGGCAAGCATGAGGTCGTGAGTTTGATTCCCAGTATCACAAAAAAAGAACATACTATAAATATCATATTTACTTTTTAGAACTGGAATGTTTAAAAAAAACAGATATTCTGTATTTCTATGGCAAATAAACAACAAAGATGTCAAAATCACTAGCAAACCCTAAAGCACACAAGGTCAGGCCTGCCTGCGTGCATATACGCAGCCCGTACAGCAGGCTCTTTGTAGGTGTTATGTTTCAACATTTGCTTTTATTTTGGCAGTCGCCTTGAAATTTGGGTGGTTCTTGGTAAGCAGCAAGATTCTTCGGGGAACAATAAGCATTTAAAGACAATCACTATTTGAGAGCAAGAAAGAATTTGCACTAGCTCTATCTCCCACTTATGCCCTCGTTCTGGCATCAGCCTGCAGGAGGACTACCCCAGCCCAGAGAGAGAACCTCACAAAACTCTGCATTTCACTGACTTCACGTGACCTTGTCAAGTATCCTTAGGCATTGTTTTGGCGTCCACCAAGAGCAGGCTTTACTCTGTTTAAATCAGATCTCGAGAGAGGAGCTCAGATATTGTCCTGAGACCCTTTTCTTCATAAATGGGGGAAGGAAGACCCAGGGAGGGTATGTGGTCAGACCTCGCCCCTCTTTACCTCTTTCCGAATGCCTTTGTCCAGTGTGTTTGTCCCACCACCCTGTGGGACAGTCGGTGCTGGAAGCCTCTTTCCAGCAGCACGGAGAGGGCAGCCCAGCCCACCAGTCTCTTCTCTTCATCTCCCCAGGACCTGCTTCTTTCCATCAGAAGATATAGGAAACACGGAGAGAAGACGGACTGATTAGATCATTGTCACTTATTTCTTTAAATTATTTGATGCAAAAATTCATGTCCAAGAGTAATACTTTCCATCTTAGAATTAGAAACAACTCCTTTGCGAATTAGCAAAAACATTCCTATGTTATATTAGGAGGAAAAGATGGGCCCCGCTTCTCACTTGGCAGCTCATTCAGTATCACCCAACGCTTAACAAGTATTTTTGAGCCTCTTCTGGGTCCCTCCCAGTACATTCTAAAGTATAACCCAGAACAAAACAAAGACTGCTACTTTTGTGATTCAATTTTAATGTATACTTGTGACTTAGAAACGAACTACTACTTTACAACCAAAAATCCTTCTTGGACAGCGTCGTAGTGAAAAATATCATTTTTAATAATAATTTTCCCTAAAAAAACCTAGTTTCTCAAGAAATACATTTTTTAAGTCAAATGATGTGAAATCCGGCGCAACACTGCCTCCTGGTGGTGGTTTCAAAGACTCCTATTACTATAAAGTTAACCCTGTCTGGGTAAGATTTACAGAAAATCTTCTTTTGCACTGGAAATAATTTTCACACAGAATTGCCTAATCGGGAACATGTAGTGTCTAATCCCGTCTGCTTTTGTGACAGGACGATTGGAAGGCTTCCATCGCCTTTGTGGTCGGGAATCAGATCGAGGACGATCTTCTCATCCAGGCCCTGACCTTGGCTGTCCAAGTCCCTCAGCGCAAGCTCTTCAGCATAGTTTCCTGGCAAGACATTCTCCAGAAGGTACCTGGGCTTCCCTTCCACGGGACCTCTCCCACACTCTTTTAAATATTAAAATCAGTTTTTGGTTTTGTTTTTTTTAAAAAAAAAAAACTTTACATATTCTTGGGCTGTTTTGTAAACTTTGACTCATTATTCCAAATAAGTAAATATCTAGCCAGAATAAATTTGAATTGTTTAGTTCATCAGATGCAATTTCCATTTATTAAGGCCATCGTTCTACATTATCTCTTTTGATGATACATTTTGGTGGCCAATTCCACCATGCTAGGGCCTCTGAGGAACTGCTTAGTAAAAAGTCAAACAACAACAAAGACTGAACAAATAAGCTTCCCAGAAGGTACATGGTTAATAGGAAACTGAAGTCTAAGGAAAATCGTAGCAGTCAGGGGGCCAGAGGGGAAGGATAACAGGATATGGTGCAGACCTATGCAATGACCAACAGACAGCTCACCAAGGGGCCTAGAAATCCTCCCCTCGCTGCTCAGTACCACTGCCTGGCTAGGAGTCCCAGCCCTTATGTCACCTGGGTATCTGACAGTTACACATGTGGGAGTATTCCTTAGCTGAGCCCTCTTTTGCCATTAAATGTAAACTTTAACTTTCTTACAGATCAATGAAGTCACTGCCCTTGCTGGAACTGCTTTGTCTAGAAAAGCAAAAAAACCTGTAGGCAATAACACTCCATTATTTTATGAGGTAGGTGAGAGTGTTTATTGAAGATGTTGTTGTATGTTCTAGAACTGGAGCGATCCTGTGATGGGCTTTTTATGTATTTCATTTTTGAAAGTAAATGTCCTGCTTCTTAGTGAAGATGTGTTATTCCTGAAATTATTACACACACACACACACACACACACACACACACACACAACCTCATTTAAGCAAAATCATCCTTTAGCTATAAAATTGCCCTACACTGTTTACACTATCATTGTAAACAACTGAAATCTATAAATCAGAAACTGTTCTATAGAAAAGCAAGGTGATATATTTCCATGCTAATTATTGATTATGCGATGGGAGTCATAATTGGGTACCACAGTGTGGATTTCACCCCAGAACCAAGAAAGAATTTCTTGTATAAGACAGAGCCACAGCTGGAATAATTTTCCATTAGTCTGTGTACTTGGTGAGCATTTTATATCTGACTCTAACTGAAGTGAAAAGAGCGACACTCTTCAATTGTAGAGTATGTGTTGTCAAAGGAGCCATCGTTCCTCGGATTAGTGGCCCATGCCATTTATAGCCATTACTGCATACAGATTCTGACATGTGCAAAAAGCTTAGAACTCATGCTCAGTACAAGGATTTCTTCTCGTCCTGCTTTGTTACCATCTAACTTATGTATTGAAACACACACAATATGTTACATATTGAAACATACACACACAAAAAAAAAACCTTATAATCCTTGAATGATTAATTAGAATGTCACAATTTCTCAGGAACTGTTATGTGGTTCTGAAGACCTGAAACAAAGATTGTGGGATCTTTCTGAGGCAGATGTGAGAACATTTTATTTTGTTGGTGTCTACTAGAGATTTTATGTGTCTCGAGTCTGGGATGATTCTATAAAGATCCCTTTGGTATTGCCTGCACACTGTTATCTGAAAATTTTCTGTTAGATTTATTTATAATTGACAGAACTGAATTTTATGTCATTAGTTCATGCTATACTATGCTTGTGACCACAGAAAACTCACTCTGTGCTGTCAGGGCCAAACAATACACTTTCTTTCATTGTGATGTTGTGAATGTTCATTCTCCAGTCGAAACACTATGTGATACCTGGATTTGAAATACTGGAATTTTTCTTCAAAAGTAGCCATAGAAATCCAAGTCCAGTTTTCAGGCCTGGGATCAATTAGCCCCCCAAAGGATTCTTTCTTCTTCAAAGATGCTCAATAAAAATCAGAGATGATAACAGGGCAGTTTGACGTTTAATCTGGACAGGCATTTTGACTTGGATGTGGGCTAGCACAATGCTAGAGATCCAGAGTGAAGTTAGAAAGCCATTCCTCTCCAATATGTGCTGGGACTCTTGGTTGAATATTCTTCAACCTCAGGGGAGGTCCCTCTCACATCTGGCTTTTCCACATTCTTCCAGTGGAGCATTCGGGCAATAAGCCTCCCACACCCACCCACATACCCTTTTCTGAGTGGTTCCAGAAGGAAAAGGAAGGCAGGGTGGAGTACCCCAAAGCTTGGGCTGTGGTGCACAAGATATTCATTAGTGCCTATCACTGTGGCAAAATGATAAAGAACATGAAGCAAATATAGGATCCTGGCCAGCATCAGCCAAGGGCAGATGGCACATCTGCAGAAGAGGGACATGTTTCTCCTTCAGTCCTTTCCCACGGATGACCTGTTCCAGAGCTTTATCTCCTGACTCCTTGTGCCAAGTGAAGTGAAAACCTTCTTCTAATGACTGTAGAGCACCAAGGTGGCTGTGAGCAGTGGCCATGGGCAACCCAGAAGCCGATGTCTCTGGGACTTATGGATTTTCAGGGCATGTGAGACCGTGTTTATAAGCCTTATCTCTATTTAAAGTTTTACATGATCCCTTTGCAGCCAGGACAGCTGCCACAGATAAACTCCTAAGGACCTGTTCAAAGACACTTACATTTACCTACTCAAGGAAACTGCAATGGGACAGAACAGATAATCTGACGCAGTCGCTTACTAAATGGGATATTATTAGAGTTCTGTTTCCTTTCAGGCCTCAGAGCTCAATGCATTGTAAAGGAAGGCATGCGCTTAGATGCTTATGTTTAGTTCTACTTGTCAGATGCACTTTTGGGCCTGAAGTCTTAGCTTAGTTGATCTTACTTTAAATGCAATTAACCAATTTGGCTTCCTGGTCTCCCAAACTGTGGCACAATCAACTAAAGTGAGACTTCACCACAGCACAGCTTCTCCATGAGTAGTAAAATAGTATCACAACGACATTACATATTTTCAATGAAAACTTGAATGTCTGGGCTAGCAAAGGTCACATTCCTGAGAGATTTGCTCAAGGTTTCATTGGAATGGCTTGGTGTGGTGTACACACAGCCTGTGAAATTGTGCAACTTCCTCTGAAACCTTAGAACTTCATGTAGCCATGGGATTGTATAGAGCCTTTATTCTCAAGCTATAGTTTTCTGGAAAGCTGCTTAGATTTTCCATAATTCTGCAGAGACATCATTATAGCTTATTTGCTCATTCAACTTCATTTTTGGTCTAGTAGGAAGTACTCCAAGAACATTCCAGATGGGGCAGGGGTGTGAACAAAATCATTATTTTGCTATTATATTCATTGATAATGAGGATAAGTATAATCCTATGCACTGAAACATAAGCACCATTCCCAACATACTGTACCATTTGAGGATGGGAACACATGCAAAAAGAAGAGATACACATAGACTGTTCATAATATATACTGGCTAGTTTTGCCAACTATTCACGATTGTATTTATGCTCAAACAACATAAGTGGTATAGAGATGGAGGAAGGAACACAAAGTACAGACTCCAACCTTAAGAAGCTTATAGACTAGAGACCAAAACAAAGAAAAAAATGTTTCTAAAGTTGGCTCCTAATAAGTATTCAATAAATATTCGCTAAATAATACAATGCAGAAAATCATGAAGAACTTGGGGCAGAGACAAAGTGCTATGGGGATTTGAAGGAGAATTTGACTTCCTTAGCTGAGATGAGGATGGAAGGGAACTGAATGTGATCCAGAGAAGAAACAGCAACTGAAAGAAAAGGGTAGGAAATCTAATAATACTTTGTCTTTAAAAATATTGCTGGGGCTAGGGAGATGGCTCAGTAGAACAAGCACTTGCCTAGCAAGTGCAAAAGCCTGAGTCCAATCCCCGGTTCCATGAAAACAAAAACAAAAACAAAACAAAAAAATTGCTGATAGGTTCTGGTCCTAGTATGAATTGCTGAATTATTATGGTGGTCATCTAATATGGCTGAATCTCTTAAAACGATAGGCTACCTTCCCTGAGACCACCTGCCCCCTTCTTCTCCAACTCAGCCCAGGGTGCAGTTTCCTTTTACCTTTCCCGCTGCCTCAGGGAAGACCCCAGTCAGCTCCCTCAGGTATATCTAACCTCCAACTTTTTATGGCAAAAGACCATAAAAGCCTCAGCCTCTCTTTGTTCCACTTCAGAGAATCCCTTATCTTCCCCATATTCTCTCCCTGTCCTCAAAGATAATAAAGCCCCTTTTTTCTTTCTGTCTGTTTCTCTGCCGCAATGCTGCCTGAAAAATTAAAAAAAAAAAAACCACTATCAATTGCCCTACTTTTAATCCCCATTACCCCTCATCACAGTTCTGCAAGGATATCTAATCATCCTCATTTTATGTATAAAGGAACAAGGCATGTAGAAGGTAGGAAATTCGCTAACTGGAAAGTTGAAATTAGGAATTGCAAGAGCTGTAGATATTATAATATCTAATATCCAAAACAACACCGTTGCGAGTTTTTCATTTTACCACACACCAGGCAGAATTGCGTTCATCTGGAAGCTGTGCTCTTCAGATGTGGAGTTCTCCACACTCAAGTGGAGGGGACAGTCCACACAAAGGAAACAGATCGAGCTGTGCCATGGGAATGGATGGCGTCGTGGTTTGGGGTTTTTGCAAGGTGCACAATATAGTACAGGACACATTTTATAATATTAATTTATAAGGAATCACCCAAGAACCATATACAAGTGCAGAAAATCCATCCACACACTAAATGCTAAAGACTGCAGCTAAAAGCCTGAATACTGATATCCAGCATGAGTCCAGATGAAAACCTAGAGCCCATAACAATGCCACCTACGAGTCCAACTGGAGGCCTAGAGCCCACAGCAAAGTCTCATGCAGGCCTGCTTCACAGATCTGGAAAGGCTCAAGGGTCAGTGGTGGAAGCTAGAAGGTCGATGCCAGCAGGATGAAGGATCTCTGCTAGCAGGCTAGGGGATCCAAACTGAAGCTAGGAAGCAACACTCAAGGTAAGCACCAGAGCTCCCCAAAAAGTACCACAGCCATCCTCAGCTACGGCAAGGTCCTGAGCTATTCTAACAATGAGGAAAGCAGAGTTCCCATCAGGGAAGCCAACATGACAAGCTTCTTCATGAGGCAGAGCAGTGCATCACCTTCCCCTCCAGAGCCAAGAAGTGATGCTCAAGATGAGGACCAAAGCTTCTCCAAAGTTCATTGGGAAAGCCAGCATGACAAGGTCCTCCAGCAGAACAGCCCAAGAGAACTAGCAGCTTCCAGCAGCTCCAACAGCATCTCCAAACAGCATCCCTGACAGCGTTTTGGCAGCTTTTCCTATGCCACCTTGTATGCTGCTGGCCACAACCTTCAGGTGGGCCTCCTCTACCTAGCACCACACTAGTTTAATTCAGCTGGATATAAAAAGTTGACCACCAGTTAAAAATCCATTACAGAAGGAGACTGAATGAATGAATGTGCTTGGATGATCAGTAAACACAGTGAATGTGTAAATTGAAAATAATTTATTATAGCAAAATAAGTTAATGCATAAACACCCCTCAAAATATTTCCTCCTGCTTTGAATGTACTCATTCCTTCATTCTTGCCATTTTCTGAAACACTTCTAGAGATTTCTTTTGAGCTATGATCAAAACTACATGCGCTGCTGCTGCACAGCGCTATCCACCCAAGAGGCAGGCATGGAGAAGCAC